TAGTAGTAGTAGTAGTAGTAGTAGTAGTAGTAGTAGTAGTAGTAGTATGTAGTTGTAGTTGTAGTAGTAGTAGTAGTAGTAGTAGTAGCAGTACTAGTAGTACTAGTAGTACTAGTAGTCCTAGTAGTACTAGTAGTACTAGTAGTAGTGGTAGTCGTAGTAGTAGTCGTAGTAGTAGTAGTAGTAGTAGAAAAGATAAGTAAGGGTTTGAAAGGGCAGCAATAGCAGAACAATTTTTCCCTTAGGGCTCCAAGTTTGCTTATTAATCCCACCCCTAAACAATTGATAACATTATTCACTTCCCCTGGGCTGGTGTACTACCCCCTTGAAAAATTGTTTGGAGCAATGAAATCGTTGAGTTTTAACAAGCTTTTTCGATAACGATTTCGAAGTCAGAATTCCATGAATCAAGCAAACCTCAGGAGAGTTAAGTAAGGATGTAAAAGGGGGAGCAATAGCAGAACAATAGAAAAGCAAACAAAGCCAAAAGAACAAATTGGGTGAACAATTCATTCTATTATTCCGACCATGATATAAACTAATCAGTGCGTTAATAATTTGGCGAAAACTTTTCTTTATTCCGTCCCACTATACAACTGAGGATGCAACATTATCTTTGCTTCCACGGAGATTTTGTGGGGAGACCAGGTCCCTATAGGAGGAGACTGTGGATCGGGGAAGATCCTTGTGTTGGTGGCCTGCATTCAGGAAGGGGTCCCCAACCTATAGGTGAGGATTTCGAGATCCAGATGAATGTTCAGGCGAGACTTTACCAGTCAACGTTAAGACTCTACGGAGTCTGTCGCTCCTATCCAGGCACGGCCTGGGAGTCTGGGAGTGGGCCCGGACCCTTTTTGCCAGGTGAAGGAGATCCGGCCGCGGAGCCCAAAGGATGGATCCATCGGCTTCAGTGTCCGGAGCTCTTTGGAGGAGAGTGACCGTAAGTGGCCGATGGGGGTCCTGGGAAGACCTGACAAAAGATTTTGCTAGTAGTTTCTTGCTACTAGTTACTAGTAGTAATGCCCTTGCTCCTAGTAGTATGCCCTTGTTACTAGTAGCTTCTAGTTACTAGTTACGCGTATGAAAGGCACACTTTGGGCCCTGAACTCAGTGGGGGATTTGCCCCTGACCCACTGAAGGCAACTTGCCACCTACTCCCCCCCAAGAGCGGACATGCATCTCGTCCTGAGGGATGATGTAGGCACCACAAGGCCTGGTGCTTGTTAGGAGAGGCAAGAGGGAAGTGTCAGGAGCGCTTGCCCTTGGGTGCTACCGATTTCGAGCTGCTGCTGCAACATGTGGAAAATCAACAGCCACCAGCGGGTGACTGGGTCAGAGTGCATGGGCGAACACTGTGCTGAATGGCGACACTGGCACCACCTCCTGTCCTGGCAGAGCACAGAAGGAGACCTCACCTCATTCACTTCAGCCTGAAATTGGATGAAATTGGTGGGTACTTATGGTGGCGGGTCCAATACCCATCCCGCTGTTTTCAGTTTAGTGTGGCTTTGTACTCCATGTTCTTCCTCAAACTGCCTTCTCAAAATTATGTTGTTCCTGCTTGACCATTGGTTTGGTAGGACACACTCTGGAAGGCATTTGTGTGGTGAGTACTCTACTCTACCCCATTGGAGGGTCATTTTGGGTGTGACAAAACTAACTAAAAAGCGTGCACCGACAGCCAGGTGGCCCAATCGAGTTGGTTCCCACAAGCAGCTTATGTAGGACCTCCAGAACACAGGAATTGAAGCAAGAGACATCCAAGCCGGTGTTTGTTCCCCACCTGCCAGGTGAGGGTTGTTAGATTTTATCACAGTTGTTCTTCCTTCGCCTCCGCCTCCGCCGCCTCCTCGTCCTCCTCCTTTCTCCTTCCTCCTTCCTCCTTGCTTCCTTCCTCGCCAATCTGCTTCGCCGATCTTGTCTGGCCAGCTCCGGATCGCAGTGTGCACCCCTGGACCTCAACCGCAAGGATCCGATCGCA